GCTCAATTAGTTTTTGAGTTAAGTTTGGTTCAATTTACAATTTGTTTATTTATTTCAATTTTATTTACTTATTTATTTATATGTTGTTTTTTAAAAAAGAATAACTGGCGATTTTTAAAAATTTTATTAAATTCATTTATTAGAGCTACTGATTAGTAAATTATGTTAAAATCAAATTAAAATTTGTTCAATAACTTAATGTAAATATACATATAAGAAATGTATGACATTTCATTGTAAAAATATTATTATCATAAAAAATTATTATTTTAGCCCTGATGAAGATTTAAAATTAAATCGAAACGTTGTTGAAAAGTTAAAGAATATTGTTTTATTTGTCCTACACCAGGCTACATAAAAAATTTTAAATACTAAAAATAAAGGACGAAAATTACATTGATATTGCTAAAAAATAATACACATCCACGAAAACAAACATCAATGGTGTCTCAATCTACTCAAATCAACTTGTTTTTTAAAATAATCAAGTTCTTAAATTATATTTTCATATTATACTGAATTTTGAAAGTATTTTGAAACAAATGGATTTATATCTCAACATCAATCTGGGTTCCGAAAAATCCCAGTTACGAGCCACTCGATTGTAACTAACTGGAAGATCATTTTGGATGATAGTAAAGTTGCAGTGTCAGTGTTTGTAAATAAAGGGATTTTGTTATTTAAATTTTAAAAATATGGTATTTGTGGAATTGATAAAATGGTTTCAGTCATGAAGTTTCAGTTGTTTCAGAATGGTTTCAGTTGAAATGTTTTTAGGAGTTCCTCGAGGTACAATTTTTTGGAATGATATTACTTTTAATTTACATAAATTGTATGGAAAACGTAGTTGAAGGTGAAAATTTAGCTTTATTTGCTAATGATGCACTTATATATTTTATTTTATTTTATTTTACATGCTTAGCTTAAACATTACAATATAATATACATATGAATTTACATATTGAGACTTACAGAAAACTAAAATCTACGAGTATATTAAATCCAAAATAGAAAACAAAAACAATACAAAAGATTGCAAATATTTTAAAATTACAATACATGTATTATTATTAGTTAAGTTAGAATCTAGAAAAAGAATGAATTATCTATAAGAAAATAAGTGTTTTTTTATAATGCCGTTTGTTAAAGTTAAATCAAGTATGTTCTTGAACTTGTTACACAGGTTCAACATTCTACTGACAGGTTCGTTTTTCCCATAATTAGTTCTATGGAACGAAAGTATAAAAAAATCAGGAGAACGAGACGTTGGGACGGACGGACGGACGGACGGACGGACGGACGGACGGACGGACGGACAGACAAAGCTAAATCAACTCAGAATTTGACGCTGATCAAAAACATACACTTGAGTCTATATCTAACACCGTTATTTCTTAGCGTTACAAACGGTAAGGCAAATTTAGTATACCCTTCGAACATACGTTCGTACGGGTATAAAAACAATTCTCATTTTTCTGGGCTCGAACTTGAGACCCCTTACATAGAAATCGTATGCTATACGCATTATCCTATATACGCGTTTTATTCGCAAGTATTAAGAATCCAAATATATACGTGAGCGGATTTTGTGATTAAGATCATATTAAGATCAAATATATACTTGATCGCTAAAGTGCTTATTTCCAAAAGTAATTTATGATTTTAGCGATATACGAGGGTTGTCCCAAAATTAAGTAGCCTAACCAAGAAAACACAAAAATTTTGAAAAAAAAAAAATAAGCCACGCAGAAAGCCCTATCATTTTAAGGATTAACTGTCACACTTTTATTTTTTTTTTCTTTTCAGATTACCGACTATTAATATTGAAGCTTTTCAGTAAATTCTTAATACGGATGAAATTGGTCATCGTTATGTCATTCAATATTTTTATTTGAAAGGTCTTAATCCAGCCGGTATTAAAAGTGAACTGGATTCTACATTAGGGGAGTCTGCTCCCTCATATGCAATAATTAAAAATTGGGTAGCGCAGTTTAAACGTGGCCGTACGAGCTGTGAAGATGAATATCGCACTGGCCGACCAAATGAGATCACCACGCCAGAATTAATGAATTGAAGTTTGAACTGTTTCCTCACGCACCCTATTCACCAGATTTAGCCCCCTCAGATTACTTTCTATTTCCAAACTTGAAAAAATGGCTTGGTGGAAGAAAATATTTTACAAATGAAGAGGTATAGTCTGGCGTTGATGGCTATTTTGCAGAGTTTCCCAGTTCTTACTACAAAAATGGTATCGAAGCAATTCAACACAGCTGGCAAAAGTGTATCGACCTAAAAGGGGACTATGTTGAGAAATAAAAATAAATTTTGTCAAAATTTCTGTGTTTTCTTGGTTAGGCTACTTAATTCTGGAACAGCCCTCGTAACTCAAAGCGAGGTTATAAAATATAGTTACTTCTCAGGTGTCAAAAATTACTCAAAAGATATTAGATCTCAACGGAACTAATTATTTGTTTAACTATGTACTTTTTTGTAATTATTTTTAAGAAATTTTCTTATTTTAAGTTTTATCTTGTTATTTATTACGAAAAAAACATATCTATATGTATTATACGGGTGTGTTTTTGAAGAAAAAAGATAAACTTAAAATAACTCACACACAAAATGGAATACAGTTTCAAAACTACAGACATAAACTTGCAAGACTTGCAATGCAGACACACACGAATAGTTTTTATTATAGTTTAAGTTTTGTAAGAGTCTAGTTTTATTAAGTTTACAATTTGTGTTAATTTATTTTATTTACTTATACATACGTTATTTATTAAAATATAATAATTGAGGATTTTTTAAAAAATTTATAAAATTTATTTATTAAAGCTACTGAGTTAATAAATTGTGTTAAAAGAAAATTAAAATTTGTTCAATAACTAAATGTAAGTGTACAATTAAATCGAAACGTTCGTGAATTCCAAAGAACATTGTTTTATTTGTCCTACACCAGACTATACAAAAAATTTTTAAATATTAAAAGAAAGAACTCTACAATTAGAATTGCAATTGGTTTCGACTTATGTCGCAGTTTTTCAAAACGTATTGCCATCGTAAATCAAGGACCGAGTGTATGTATTAAAAACTATGTTTTAAATTTGAGAATAGAAAAAACAAATATTAATATAATGATAAAAAATTTGTAAAAAAATAAGTTGTTAGATAGACCGACTTCTAAATACTTTAAATAATAATATGGTTTGGTATCTTTGCACTTTTTCAATTTTAAGATTACCAGTAACCAGTTTAGTGGAACGACATTGATAGTGAAAGTTTTTTATGATTCCGAAAAATCAAAACGTATTTTTTGCACGTTTTAAATAATTAAAGAACAACTTTGTTATCAGATGTCGCGATTCGTACTTACAACAATATGTACATATGAATTTTATGAAATATTTTCTATTATTTGCGTTTTATTTACATCAGTACGCATCATATTTGCAAAATTTTTGATGTTGTTGTTCGGCAAATATATCACTTTAGTTCATATTGTTCACATTCTTTACTAATTTTGGTATATAAAGGTCTTTTCAAAACTCTTTTCTAAGTAAACATGCGGACGCATACTTGCGATTTGTTCAAAAAACTCGATATTCTTCCCTTGAATTAATATTTGCACAAGGTCTTGAAAACATTCTTTAACTCCAGTTATTCACACCAAGAGTATATGACATTTGTAATTTGAGAATTAATGTTTTATATATTTTAACTACTCTTCATATTTTTATGCTCAATTTTGCTTGTTTTTATTTATATATGTTTAACAGTCTACCATTGGATGTGACGGTGCAAAAAAAGTCTTATTGAGTTATTTTACTTTCTAGGAATTAGCTCAGGTATTTAGTTTTTGGCAATCCTGTATTTTTTTGTCGTTGTTATAATATGTAACTCTCATGTTGTTCTTGTTATATTTTTTATGCCGTCTAGGACATGCACCACATCTCTCTTGTGGCAATAGAATGGTCGTTTCACCAATTTTTACAAAGAATTTTGCAATTTCCTTTTTATTTAAGTGTATAAATATATATATATACTTTTTTTTGAAATTGTTTTTATAACTAATATTTTAGTTTTGTTGTTGAATGGTAATGTAATTATTCATCATCATAAATTTTTTTTTGAACTTTGTTCATTGTATAAGTATAATCTAAATATAATTCATTTAGCCGTTTTTAGCACTTTTTCAAAAATTATTTATCTTAACTCACGCAAATAACCCTTAAAATCGAGCATTATGTTGACCACTCTTTATTAATTTTTACTTTATTTCAAAGACTGAATATCCTAAATATTCATCCCAAATATATTCAACCCTAGAAATAGTTTCGTTTATGAATAAAAATAATTTTAACAGTGTGGTAGGTATACATAGACTGTATTTAAAAGCAGTATTTTTACTTGTTGAAGGGAAAAGTGCTACAACACAAACCATTTGTTTGACCCAACTTTATTTATTTTTCAATTGCCAATTTAGTAAAAAAAGACATTTCAAATATTATAATTAAATTCCAAAATAATTCGGAAAACACAAATCAGTGTTGTAAATCAGCAATACTATTTCTTTCTAGCGGGGAAAGTTTTGAAATGTAAATTGCAAGCAAATATTACAATTCCAGTCAACCGTTGACGCAATTTATACCAAACTGCTTAATCTACCGAGGTTACTTTAATACTTCTTTTTTACCAATAACATTGCATTTTTACCAACAACATTCATTTCTGGACACCAACGCTAAGCGAGCCTGGTAAGCAGTTGAATAGCAATAGTTAAATTCACTGAAAGCTACAATTTCTAAACCGGATAATGGAAAATTTTCCACAAAATGCACATTTATGAAAAATATTATGATTATATTTCGAAATTAACTGTATCTGAATTTGGAAAGAAAAATAGCCAAGGATAAAGAAAATTAACTGTATTAAAAAACTCTCAAGTTATCAGATATAAAAACTTAAATCAATTTTTTGAAATATATCAATTCATTTACCTCTTCTATTTGTTGGTTAAAGTTTGTTTCTATTTCTTTTGCCGAATGTAAACTTCTGTTATGAAATGAAACATCGTCAGATACTTTCATCTTATCACAATTAATTGAAGAATCAAAAGTCATTTCTGCAAAACAAAAAAAAACTTTAATAATATTTCAACAAAATAATTATTGCTATTATACATTAAAAAATTTATAGTTAAATTTAAACTTTATTTTAATTAACACATATGCTGAAAAAAAAATTACTTAATTTTATTTGTCCCACACCAGACTACACAAAAAATTTTAAATACTAAAAATAAAGGACGCTACAATTAGAATTTCAATATGAATAATACTGGTTTCCTTGAGTCCATCAAACATTTATACGGTGATAACGTGGTTACAATTATGAAAAATATATTAAAAAATTCTTACAATGCGCATCATTTAACAACAGACGAGTTTTTCCACTACAATGCAGAATGAAAAAAGTGTTTCCAAACCATATTGCTAATAACATCAGAACAATTTTATTCACTTCAAATATATCAGCATCCATACAAAACACAAAGTCAAAAAATATTGCATACGTTGAGGAGAAGCATACTAAATTTAGAGATTAAAATTACAATTTATAAAATAGAAAAACTCAATAGCTTAATTAGTAAATTATGGATCATACTTAAAGAGTTTTTTTTTTGTTTTTTTTTCCTTCTTCACTCCTAGGAGGAGTATAGGGCTAGTGCAATGATATCTATCATGCCCTAGTTTCTATAGTCATAGAGAGTTAGCTAGGTAGATGACTAGCCTACCGTAGTTTTTATTTATATTAAATATTTCAGTTTATTGTTTACTGTTTATTTTTCTTAAAATGATAAAGCAATAGTTAGAAGCAATTCATTGAATATTATCTTAAAAAATTTTATAATAACATAGATAAATTAAACAAATATAATAACATCATAAGTGACTATAAATAAAGTTGAGTCAAACCAATGGTTTGTATTGTAGCACTTTTCCCTTCAACAAGTGAAAATTCTGCTTTTAAATACAGTCTATGTATACCTATCACACTATTAAAATTATTTTCATTCACATTTAACTATTTCTAGGATTGCATATATTTAGGATGACGCATATATGCAGTCTTTGAAATAAAGCAAAAAGTTTGGTTCAATTTACAATTTGTTTATTTATTTCAATTTTATTTACTTATTTATTTATATGTTGTTTTTTAAAAAAGAATAACTGGCGATTTTTAAAAATTTTATTAAATTCATTTATTAGAGCTACTGATTAGTAAATTATGTTAAAATCAAATTAAAATTTGTTCAATAACTTAATGTAAATATACATATAAGAAATGTATGACATTTCATTGTAAAAATATTATTATCATAAAAAATTATTATTTTAGCCCTGATGAAGATTTAAAATTAAATCGAAACGTTGTTGAAAAGTTAAAGAATATTGTTTTATTTGTCCTACACCAGGCTACATAAAAAATTTTAAATACTAAAAATAAAGGACGAAAATTACATTGATATTGCTAAAAAAAAATACACATCCACGAAAACAAACATCAATGGTGTCTCAATCTACTCAAATCAACTTGTTTTTTAAAATAATCAAGTTCTTAAATTATATTTTCATATTATACTGAATTTTGAAAGTATTTTGAAACAAATGGATTTATATCTCAACATCAATCTGGGTTCCGAAAAATCCCAGTTACGAGCCACTCGATTGTAACTAACTGGAAGATCATTTTGGATGATAGTAAAGTTGCAGTGTCAGTGTTTGTAAATAAAGGGATTTTGTTATTTAAATTTTAAAAATATGGTATTTGTGGAATTGATAAAATGGTTTCAGTCATGAAGTTTCAGTTGTTTCAGAATGGTTTCAGTTGAAATGTTTTTAGGAGTTCCTCGAGGTACAATTTTTTGGAATGATATTACTTTTAATTTACATAAATTGTATGGAAAACGTAGTTGAAGGTGAAAATTTAGCTTTATTTGCTAATGATGCACTTATATATTTTATTTTATTTTATTTTACATGCTTAGCTTAAACATTACAATATAATATACATATGAATTTACATATTGAGACTTACAGAAAACTAAAATCTACGAGTATATTAAATCCAAAATAGAAAACAAAAACAATACAAAAGATTGCAAATATTTTAAAATTACAATACATGTATTATTATTAGTTAAGTTAGAATCTAGAAAAAGGATGAATTATCTATAAGAAAATAAGTGTTTTTTTATAATGCCGTTTGTTAAAGTTAAATCAAGTATGTTCTTGAACTTGTTACACAGGTTCAACATTCTACTGACAGGTTCGTTTTTCCCATAATTAGTTCTATGGAACGAAAGTATAAAAAAATCAGGAGAACGAGACCTAACATTAAAATTGTTGACGATCTTATTAAAAATATTGGGGGAGATCAAATCAGATATCATAAGTTGAAAAATGAATATCACGTCCGCGAGATTACGTTTTAATCATTTAAAGTGCTGAGTCAATCAAGTAAGCCTGTCCTCATAAGGAGGAAGGATAATAGGAATAAATAGGATCGTTCCAAGAAAGGTGGTAAAGCGCTAATTGCAAAAAATTCTTCTGAACCGACTCTATTCTTTTAATAAGAATATTGTAAAAAGGCGACCCAACTTGTAAGGCATATTCAAGATGGGGACGAACCAGAGACAAATTAGAGACTTCAAAATATAGAGGTCACTAAACTCCCTTAACCAGCGTTTAAAAAATCCCAACATAGAGCTTGACTTGCCAACCACATAGTTGTAGTGATTGGCAAATGATAGCTTATTATCAAAGCAAAACCCTAAGTCCATAATTGAGTCAACCCTACTAATAACTTGACCATTTAACGTATAATTTGATATTATTCGCTGTCTCTGTCTGGAATAACACGTTAGCGCGCACTTGCTAGTGTTGATTTTCAAGTTGTTACTAGTGCACCATCTGCAAAACTTATCCAGATCATTTGTAGAGAAACTGCGTCATTTACAGAACGGATCCTCTTGAAAATTTTCATATCATCAGCATAAATTAACACTCCATTTCAATTTAAAACGGATGCTACGTCATTAACAGCGATTATGAAGAGCAATGGACCCATGTGTCTGCGCTGGAGAATTCCAGAACTAGTGACAAGCGGAGACGACACCGATGAAAGATAAAAAACCAACCCAAAGATTGGATTGAAGGATTTTAGATTGGCTTCTCTGGCAGTGTTAAGTTTCTGGGAGTCACGTTTGATAAAGGGCTTACGTGGAGCTCACATCTTGACATCGCGAATAGGCCTGATTTTCCTTTGGATGTCCAAAGGTCTCTCTGGAATGACTTGTGGTCTAGTCCTACGATCATGCACTGGATGTATCTGTCAATTTTTCGTCCACGATAAGCTTTCAAGACTGAAGATAATAACGTACTTGCAACAGTGCCAACGATTGCGATTTGGAACCCTGTCCTTGAGATAATTTCCAACAGCTTTCCAGTCGGGGGTCTTTGAGTTGGACCTTTGCATACGCGAAAAGATTCGTAGGGGACATGTCAACAAAACCATTAACATATTTTTACATAATCAGGCGGCGCCTTCAACAGCAGTGTTGGAATCGGATATCGGGAATGAGGCAGGCGAGGCTTTTTATTCCTAGTCTATGTACCAAAAGGGCGAAGGAGCTGTTGAAGTTTAGAAAGGCTCAGGCCAGACAAGTGGCTGGCCTCCTCACTGGTCACTGCAAACTGGGCTATCATTTATACAAATTGGAAAAACCTGGGGACCGCTTTCGAAGATTTTGCCACGATGTAAATGTCACAATAAATCTTTAAAGCCGCAGTAACCTGGTCTTAGGTTGACTCCTACCAATCTAAAAATCTTATATAAATATACCATTAATATAAACTAGCGCTTATATTGATTTTTTCATTTATTTCAAAATATGCTATAGGAGAATGAGTTTTTGAAACAAAGCGCAATACTAATAATATAATAGCGTTTATAAAAACAAAATACATATAAAATTCATATACAATTTCATTATAATTTCGAAAGTAAGTAGTAATTAGGTAAATGACAGTGTAAATATTTAATAATTCTAATAAAATAGAAGTAATTTTATAACAATAACATAATAAAAATAAAAACTATAACCACTGTTGATAGTTGATTGCAAATAGGTAAAATATATATCAAAGTTTAATAGCAGTTTCAAATTATTTATATATACGAGTATGTAAAAAAAATTTTTTTTTTGTTCTGTACCTTCCAATGTAGATCCAAGTTATAAATTTACATGTGTTTTTTCGGTCAAGATGAATATGCTCCTTACTCCTTGTATTGACTTTATGATGTATCTTTTCTTTTTATCGGTGTTGTAGTTTTGTCTATCTGGGAGTTTTTAATATCATGTATGTGTAGTATAAGTTTTTTATTAAAAGTTACTAATTTTCTTTATGAATTCGTTTAGTTTTTAAAAGGTAGCTGTAATTGTACAAATTGACAACCTCAATGGAGGCTTTTTATAGATTCGTACAAGTTCTTCCTCATTTTTTTAAATTATAAATTTCAAGACATAAAATATCTGATTAAATTTAAGACATATGGCAAAAATAATTTAAGCATAGGGTTACTTTAGCTTCTATGATGAGTAGTTGTACCGACTGGATATATATACTGAATAATTATAGTCATAAGATACTTCCTTGGAGAACACCAAGGCCATTTTTTGTTCTTTTGACTCAAGATTTGTTCATTTTCACTCTTGATGCGCGTATTTGCGCGTATTGTGTTCGATTTTTTAAATTTGACTTGAACCATTTAAACTATTTTTCTTTATGCCAAAAGTGTTCTTTAAAGTTTATTTTATTAGAAAATTTATTCTATTTTGGTTTATTTTTCTTTTTTATGATTCATCATTCAAAAGAAAATAATTACAAAAAATAAAAATATTCCGTGAACGATTTATTAGAAAGTAAGCGAAATAACTTTCGACTCATAAGAAAACTATGTATAAGAGTAACCAACATTTAATTATATTAAATTTACAAAATTTTAAATATTGTATGCAACCAAATCTTCTTGTACCTTAAAATCCAAATTCGAAACCAG